CCAAATAAACCTTCTGCTTTACTGGCTGGCTGAGAGTCATGGTGAATCGCAGGAAGCCGGGGGTGCAGGGCCCTGAGTTCCCCAATACTCCGTGACACATACTCAAATGTTTTTTCAAAATGCATCACAAACCTCACCGGACTTTGTCCCCTCTGTTCTGAAGATTAGACAGCATAACCTTTCTGTAAAGCTGTCCTTGGAACTCCAGGACCTTGATTTCAATGACTGATGTAAGACTAATTATAGTGAACTTCGTACTTCTGGGTTTCATTTTTTTGCTTTTTTTTTATTGCACACTTTTTGTCAATGTAACAAGAACCTCTTATTGAGATAAATATTTAATTATGTATGTGAAAGCTTCTTTGCTCTAAGAATTTATTAGCAAGATATGATATATACTGAAATCTGAGTATGTGTGTGGGTATTGCAGTTTATTTTCATCCTTGAACTTGCAGCAAATTCTGTGGACTATCATAATAGGCTCGGAATAACTTTTTTTAAATTGTAGATTTAAGTTAGAAAGCAAATGGTTCTTCTGGCTTATGCAAATCACTTATTTTCTTGTGTAGTACAGATCAGGGAAAACCATTCTGACCAAACCAGAACTATAAAGTTGAGGAAGTAGTATAAAAATCAATAATGCATACTTGGTCTTATGATGCAATTTGACTTAAAATGATGTTAATTGTGCTTTATCCATAGTTGCCAGAATAGATTGAGTAAAAGTAGCAATTATCATTACCTGACCTGTGAACCAAAGAAATCTATTTTTGAATAAGTCAGAAATAATAATCTTAGAGGCAGCAGCAGCACACACAAAAATGCTAAACTGAAATCTATATTTTTATAACAATCTTAAAGAAATACCAATGGACTGGTGAGAGAGACTTTTTTTTTAACAAGAACCCAAATGAAGTTTCAAGAGGAGAGGGAATTGCTGGAGATGAACATCATCTTTTTTTGGTCTGTTTCTCACTTCAATTTAAAAAAAAAATGAAAATGAGATTAAACTGGATCTCACATAGATACCCGGCAAAGGTCTGAAGCCTCCATTTAGGTGTAATAAAAAAATAGACCCATGCTTTAGATGGGTCTTATTCAGTAAGGAGAGAGGTGTGAAATAATTCTGTTCTTGTCTTCTTTTGTTTTCAAATTCCTCTTTCCTTGCTAAAATATTTTTTTTTCTTTCCTTATAGTTATGCAGCCCTGATAGCTGACTGGCCAGTGGTGGTTCTAGGCATGTGTACTGTGTTAATAGTGGTGTGTGCGTTGGTTGGCATATTAGTTCCAGATCTTCCAGACTTCTCTGATCCTTTGCTAGTAAGTTAGCATCTGTTTCCTGTACTGTCAGATAATTTTCTCTGCTGTACTGTTTCCCCCAACAATAATGGTAAACAGGTAAAAATGTAAGTAGAGTTTAGAGAACTTGTTACATTGCTTTCCAATACAGATGTGCCCAAACCAAAACCCCAAATCTGAGCACATCTGAGCTTTTAGGACATTTGGGTATGAACTTTGCAGTCCAGACCCAGCTATATTTTCACAAGGGCTGAGGAGCTGCTGAATTTTTCAGATTTTGTTGGTAGAAATGACAGTTTTCTGTCAACATAAATCTATTTGGGTTGTTCTGAGTATATTTTAAGAGAGAAGTTCTTGTATTAGCAAGGCTAACAGATGTAGTGAGACTTATCTAATAAATCCTATGGAAGAGAATAGTAGATCGTAGAGTTCCTGATATTTCTTCTAATGCAAATGTCCTAGTAGATCAAGAAACCAAAAGAGTTAAGAGGGATACAAAGAGGTGGTTGCACATCAGTCTGTTTTGCACTAGATTTGAATTCCAGTACCCAGCAGACAACTATCCAAAGCTTATACATGTTCCACAAACGAATTTCTGTGCATTTAATATTGTTGTGAATTTACTCCATGCATTAGAACATAGTCACAGAAGACAGGTTCTCTGTCCTGGAGATCATACATTCTAAATTAGGTTTCGGAGTGGGGTGCCAGGATCTATTAAAGGAAGAGGAAACCTAAGAACTTTTGAGTAATGGAGTCCTATCCGTAGTGAAGGTCTGAAAGGAATCTTTATCTGATTCTGATGAAGACTGTGGTCAGTTCTTATTTGTTCTGAACCAGCTCAACCATGGATTTAGAACGGTCATGGAAAGAGTTTTACTTGACTACCCTAAAGTACTACAAAGTTACTGTTAAATTGATACTAGAATACCATTCCACTGTACAGAAAAAATGGAATTCAGTAAACTAGTATTTCTAGAAACAGTTAGCAGTCCTTTAAATTGCATTAGTCAAGATTTTTTTTTCCTTTTAAATGGTTCTAAGGCTTTGAGTTATTCTTCTGGGACTGTAGAAGAGACCAGAGACATGCAGAGATAACCAACAGAGATAATTACTCAAGCTACAAAATATTCTGTAATTGAGATAAGTTAGCTCAAACCGTTTATCCACTGAAAATATCAAGAGCCAGTTTACTGATTGGCTAGGCAGTATAGACAATCACTATTTCTGACTGAAGGTGTGTAACATAAATCAGAATTTATAACCAATTTATAACCTGTAAAACGTATGCAATTGGTCATTATTGTGTCAAAACATCCTGTTATAAAGCAATCCACCTCTAAACTAGATGTCTGGAGTAACTGAACTTTGTAATTATAGTTGTCCGTCACTTTGATGATCATGTTTTCCATTCTTCTTTTAAAGCAACAGAATGAAATGTACTAATAAAATTCTGTAATGTTCTGCCTTAGGGTTTCGAGCCAAGAGGGACTGCAATAGGCCAGAGATTGGTCACGTGGAATAATATGGTGAAAAACACAGGGTACAAAGCAACATTGGCAAATTATCCTTTTAAATATGCAGATGAACAGGCTAAAAGGTAAGAATTTTTAAATCATGTTATTGTCTCCGCTTGCTGAAATAGAGCCTGCTCCAACGCCCTTGAAGTCATGAGTAAACTCCCATGGACTTGAAGGGACATTGGATCAGACAAACCCCCGTCCTCCCCCCAGATATTCCTTAGGCCTCATGTATGGAACTAGACTGAAGAGAGGGTTTGATAAAACTTACCCTACGACATAGTGTAACAATTTAAAATGTCTTGTGTTTTTCACTTTGAACTACAAGAATTGTTCAGTGTTAAGATAAAGATAATATGCTTTAAGGTCCCTAGTAGGATAAAAGTGTCATGAATATTTGAGTTATTGAATGTTGAAGTCATATGAGCACTTATATCTATTTTCTCTGGCCAAAGTTAGTAAAATGTGTAAGTTGTTAGGAAACTCCTTTTAAGAATCTTATATTCTGTGTTCAAATAAGATAAAAATGTTTCCTCCATTTTAGTCATCAGGATGACAGATGGTCAGATGATCACTATGAGAGAGAGAAAAGGCAAGCAGATTGGAATTTCCACAAAGACAGCTTTTTCTGTGATATTCCAAGTGAGTGGAATGGTGTTAATAGTAAATCTGAATACTGTGGGAATATTGAATATTCACAGGAAATGTCTCACTATTAGAAAAAAGAGGTCTTGCTCCCTATATTTATGATATGCACCTTCTTCCTCTTTGCATAAGGCTCTGAGAAATTTAGACTAAATCACATTTTAAACTCAGTCAGCAGTTCCCACTGAGCACTACACCTCATCTTTTCTTATTGAGCATTTCTTGAAAAGGTTTTGGTTTTAGTTGTTGACAATCCTAAATGTTAGAACCTTAAAATACACTAGTACAGAAGTAGCACTTAATATACATTAAGACATTAGTAATACATTATCTCTACTTCAGCTTAAATCTAAAACCAGAAATTCACTTTTCCTTATATATTCTTCTTGCAACTCTATTTTTAAAGGACATCTGTGAGGTCAAATCTGGCCCAAAATTTAGGTTTTATAAAATCAAGCCTTTATAAAACCTAAGACCAATGGAAACATTTCCATGAAATTTAAAATATCCAGGGGGAGGGCTATTTAAAGCAAATAAACATTACTCTTCATATTTAACCAACCACATATTTCATCTTTGTGATAATAAGCACGTTTTGGACAGGATCCATGTCTTGGTATGTGTGTACACAGTACTTACCCATGGGCCCCAGTCTTGATCTGGAGCCTCTGGGGCCTACTGCAGTATAAATGTTAATAACACTGCATGGGAACATGAATGTGAAATTGACTAGAAAGTGACTAATTTGTTTCTATTGTCTAAGCTGAGAGAGAGGCAAAGTAAATACCAAAGTAGATTTTATAAAATTCTCTTTTTTAATAATATAAGGTCTGTCTTTTAACAAAGGTAAGAAAATTTGGCCCAGATCATCCTTTCTCTTTCCATGAGTGGAGATAATTGAGATCTCTCCTGAGCAAGGGCAAATGTGGGAGGATCTATCTTGAAATCCGCTTGTGAGTTAATACTGCTTGAAGCAGCATTAACTCCTATAGTCCCATCCATGATAGCATTTACACCATCCCAGGGGAGTCAGGCAATGGCAACAAGGTAGCTCTCTCATCTTGGACCCCTTTGCCTTCTTTGTTCCTTGACTTCTCTCCCTGTGTGCCTTCAGGATCACCAGGATTTGGGAGGCTGTGACTCGCTACTCCTAAAGCACTTAGGGTATGTCTTCACTACCCGCCGGATCGGCGGGCAGCGATCAATCCAGCGGGGGTCAATTTATCGTGTGTAGTATAGACGCGATAAATTGACCCCCCGAGCGCTCTCCTGTCGACTCCTGTACTCCAGCTCGGTGAGAGACACAGGCAGAGTCGACGGGGGAGCGGCAGCAGTCGACTCACCATGGTGAAGACACCACAGTAAGTCGATCTAAGTACATCAACTTCAGCTACATTATTCATGTAGCTGAAGTTGCATAACTTAGATTGATTCCCCACCCCCACACACCCCATGTAGACCAGGCCTTAGAAAAGCCTGTCCCATCTTCCGTGACAATTCTGTATGGTGCACCTCATGCTGTGGTTTTTTTTGCCTCCTCTACTCATTAGCAGTAGGGGAAGATCTGGCTATTTTCTTTTGTTAAAATAAGATTTTTAATCTGATGACTATTGAAATAATTTTTCATATTAGTGCATGTTTTAAAGTTCTACTACAAAACTATGCGGAACATAGGGCCTTCACCACTGCCTCCCATCTTTGATGATCTCTTGCTCTTAACTTCTTCCCATGTCATTTAGATAGCTTTCAGTTCTGCTTCTGTTGTGCATTGCCATGTTATCCTTGGCCTACCTCATTGCCTCCTGCCGTGGGAGTTCCAGTCAAATACCAGCTTTGTTGTGTTGTTTGAGTTTTTCCTCCGTGTATGTTCTAGTCATCTCCATTTTCGTTCTATAATTTCTGGTCCTGTAGGTTTCTGTTGCATTCTCCTCTAGAGTTCATTTGTGATGTGGTGTTTTCTTTTTTTTTTTTTTTTTTTTTCCATCTGATACTGAGGTTTTTGTTTATGAAAAACTTGGAGGTTAGTTATTAAGACCTTACTAAATCTACA